GAGTCTTAGAAAAAAACTTGTTTGAGAGGTTTCCATTTCCATTTCGCTCGACATAACAATGATTTTACATTTAAAAAACAAAACAATAAGATGCGTTCATAAAACCGTGATCATTTTTTAAATAATAAATTAAAAAAATATTTTCGTATATACATAAAATTATTTTGTCATTTTATAAGGTATTAAATTAAATTTCACATTTTTTGAAAAGAATATAGTTGGGTTCAAAATAAGTATTTTTGAATTGTTATTAGATATGTGATATATCTATAGAGTAAAAGTTCTATGGACAATTATGAGAATGAATTTTGTACAGGATAAGCAGAAAAAAAAAATTAAGTAAAAAACAACTTATTTTTAGTATAGACTAATGTTTCCTATTAATGAATATCTATTTGCCTTTTACTATAAATTATTATTTATTGCATTAATGAAATTAAATACTTAACGGGCAAATTAGTCTTTACTGTTGTCCGATATAATTAAAAATAAGAAAAGAAAAAAGTTTTAAAATAATGTAATTGCTTTTCTAAAATTTTTAAACAACAATAAATTACTAAGATATACGATTACGTAAAATGAATTTTTTTTCATTCGTCTTGATATTTAAACTATTTCAATGTATCCTTAAATTGATTAATATTTATTATTTCATCGAAGCTATTGTTAATAATGATGATATTACATATATTAAGAAAAATATTATAATTTATTTTTTTATCTCTTTATATATTTTTTTTAAATTAATCGTTATTGTTCTTGCAGCCCACAACGAAGACCACGCCGATGGAAAATATCGTATCCCATGTTCTGGCTTTATTAAGCTTCAACCGACGGCAATATTAATATTTATTTTCTTGTTATGTGGCTATCATCATTATAATTTTTAAGCAATGTACAAATAAATCTGTGAAATAAATGAACATTTTTCTTATTAAAGCCGTGCTTTTAAGATCGAAATGAGATGATGACTTGGTGTTTTTTTTTATGCATAGAAAATTCTCTAAAGAAATGAGGCCACGTTTAGAATCCCAATCGTAATAGATCGATATGTAACATTTAGGAACTAATTTTAAAATATCAATCCATTGGGGTACAATGTCAACAATCTCTGCAAACACCAACCTCATCTGCAACATTCTCTGCAAACATTCAAGTGTATATAAAATATAGTTGGGTCATTCCATGCCAAATCATCCAGAAAATTTGTAAGTATCAAGTAAATATACTTATAAGAACAAGTGACAAATTTAAGCCAATTCTAACGATTAGTTTCAGAATTATGAGATTTTAAACTTTTGAAATACTTGAAGTTGAGAAGACATTTTGGGCATTCGAAACCAGCATATACTTGTTTGGTTTTCATTTTTAAAACCAATATTCATTGACCAAGAGCTTTAAAAATTTATTCATTTGCCATAAATTTAATTAAAAATCTGTTGATATCATAAGTTTTAGCATTATAATTTTTCTTTATGTGTAAAAAAAAAAAAATCAAAACATAAATTTTCAAAATGGTGATAAAAATATTTAAAACTATCTCTAACTAAAATCTCTCTCCACATACTACAATATAACTGTATATTAGTGAAAACAGCATGAAATTATCTACAAAATGTAAAAATAATATTAGTGGGATCTTGAGTTTTATTACACATTAAACACAATACAGTAAATTTTAATTTACCAATTACAAATAAAATTGAAATTCGCTTAAATCTCTCTCCAAATCTTAGTATATCTTAGTATAATCACATATCACTGAAAAGAGCATGGAATTTTCTATCAGATCATGAAATAATATTTGTAGAATTTTTAGTTATAAGAGATTTATTATAAGGTTTTCATTAAGATTTGAGTGGGGTGGGTTAGGGGTCCTGGATTACTTGGCATGGGATGACTCAGTATAATATTGGAGGAAACCGAAATGTAATGTCGTTTTCGTACATTAAATTCAAATTATTAATGAGTATAATATCAGAATGTCCTAGTTATGCCAATTTATTTTGTCAAGTATTGCTTTTAATTAAAAATCTTTCAACGTGGCCAGCCATTTCCTTGCTCCATGTATTTTTCTTCTTCTTGGTATTTTCTCTTCGTTTCCACCATAATCGTATCCAACTAAAACCCTTTTAATAGATTTTCTATTAATTTTTTTCTTATATTGTTTAGGAATGTGGGCGTAACAGATCCCATTGTTCTTATATGTTTAATTGATGGTTTTATGTTAAACCATATCAAGCAGACATTATCTTACCGTATACATCCGTTTTGTTTGGTCTATTAACAATATAAGAAGCAAGTTTGTAAGTTGAGCTCATAATGACTGAGGAAGATCATCCTGGGAATGGATCATGGCTCTGGCAGTCTCGACCATTATCCTCTTCTCTCTCTCTCTCTCTCTCTCTCTCTCTCTCTCTCTCTCTTTTTACCTTAACGAAATAAATAAGCGATAACGGGTGCAATCATCCTTAAACAATACATACTAGCGATATTCCCAACATAAAAGTTCGAATGGTCCACATACATCAGCAGGGATAATATCTTCAGAGATAGAAGCTGTTTTTCCTTTTCCAAGCTTCAATCATTGAAACTTTCCTTCATGCAGCCTCCACAAACATGTTTGATGTTTGATAAATTCTGATGAGCAATACGATCGTGGTATTATTGCAATACAATCCTATCAGAATAATTAGAACTAACTTTACAGTTATTTAAGATCCATTTAATTTTATTACATCTTCATGGCATTGTCGGTGGCCTGTGAGCAGGGGTGTCCATCCAACCCAAAGCCGATGGCGCATAAACCTTCCCTCATCCCTTCCAAGATATTTTATTCCTCTCTTCTTAAAAATAGTGCAAACGTAAGTAGAATTTAAATATTCGTGGATTATGTACAATTACGCATACTGCGGTCTGTTCTATGCTTCCACTTGTCTTTTAATTTTCACTTCGGAAATTAATAATCCCGGTCAAAATGTGCCCCCTTAAAAAGTACTCCCCTCATAAATTTTGATCGCTCACCTTGCTTCATGAAACCCCCTTCTTGGCACCTCTTCCTGTGAGAATAACATTATTGTTGATCGATAGTTGTTTTTTGATTGTTGATGGTGTAGAGATAAATTTTCTGTTAATATTTTTATCATGGGCTAATAATACACAAAACTATTTTTTTTTTTTGCATTAGTGGGACGTACAAAACATTAGCAAGGGTAAGGAGTGGTATTTTATTAATTACAAGAGCTTTGATCACTATATGCCAAAAGGCATTTGTAAAATTGCTCAATAAAAAATTTATTATTATTATTTTTTTTTTGATCACCATAATCATCTGCTGGATACATACTGGAGCGCTGGAACAAATACAATCACCATTTGCTGTGATCATCTGGTACAATTTATTGAATGATTGTGAATTATTAAATAAGTCATTATTATGTCACACATGATTAGTGGCACCGTTATCGACATACCAGCTCAAAGTGTCACATCAGATGAAAATATCTGATTGTTAATATAAAAAATTATCATATTTTGGTTGTTCGTCCCTTTTGCATTAAATACAAATTATAATGGTGTGGCCTTCCTTCTTTTGTAATAATGACATACAAGAGGATTCTTCTTAGGAGTAGACTTTGGCGGATTTTCCCTATTCTTATTAATAGCTAAAGTTCCCTCTTCCTTGGATAACTGAACATCAAAACTACCTCTTAAAGCTCTCTCATGAACCTAAAATTGACTAGTTTGGTTATAAATTGTCCTTTCTAATTTACACATCACAAAAGTAGGATATCCAGGATTTTAAAATTTATTCCGGAATATCCGGGAAGGGATTAATATGATCTCCTTCATCCATTTCTATATTCGAACTATTCCACATTTTTTTTAAATTAAATGATTAGCCAAGTCATCTTCAGAATCATATTAATATCTGAAACATCTCAGTTTCTTCAAAAAGGCTATGAAGATCTAACCATATGTCCCTTGATGAATCGAATCTCATGACTTTAGTTACAGCTTCATCAGACATGTTTGAAGATAAAAAAAGCATTGCTTTAGTATCGGCAGTTTTAAATTTTTCATACTTAATGTTATACCAAGTTACCTCTTTCTATTAGAATTCTGCAGCAAGATCTGTAGAACAGGTTAAACTGCCATTTACAACATCCTATCCTCCTGGAAAATTCCTAACAAGGATCGAAATCTTTGAAATTCCAAGTTGCCCTGTTGCTTTTTCATACTTGGTTACTAATGTTCAATACGAAAAAAAAAAAATTTTTTTCATTTGATAAAAGCGGGATTAGAAACTGCTAATCCCATAACCCGTTGAAGTTAATTAGTAAAACATAAATAGAAACTTATTTAAAAAAAAAAAACAGTTTCGTTAATGATAACCTAATACATGTGTATAGCCTTCCATACTGTATACAAAAACATATGTTATCTAACTAAAATGATAACTAAATCTATTAATAGGTAAAATTAAAATGAACATATAAAGAATTTTATAAATAAATATTTCATCAAAACACCTCCTACAACTAAACGTGATTTAATAATGAAAATTAGTATAATGCCCCCCGATTAAAATTATTACAAGAGAATATTTGGGGGGGAAAACCCACATACAGAGAATGGAGTGTTTCGTTGTTTCGTTCCACTCTGCGACGTCTGATGTTCTATGCTTGTCTCCATGGAAACGTTAACTTCTATGTTTATATACACCCACCAGCGATTAAAAAAGATGCGGTTAGACATTTCACAAACTATGAGAAACAAAATTATTACACATTTGCTCAATGCTAGGCATTTTTTAAAATTTCGGTTGCTATCAACAATAGATGGAAAACATCAAAAACAAGATACAAAAACACAAGTGCAGGAAAAGAAAACCATTTAAATATTCGGGTTTTCCATAGTTTGTGAAATGCCTAAACTCACCATAAAGTTCCAAAACTTTTTCTCTGTATTTGTGTCATGTCAGTTGTTTTAGATATTATCGAGTGACTGCTGGAAAAATCATTACAGATGTTATACGATGCGCATTTGTCAGCATATGACTCCAAGACATATGTGATTTATTATTTAATGACGATATTACTTTATAATAATATTGATTTATAATCAAAATTATTAAGAATATTGTCAATGATTTCCTTAATATTTCAGCTTTTGTTACTAATTCATGTCTTCAGACCATCTCAGCCATATTGTAATATTAATAGTAAGTAATTGTGATGTTAGCTATCAACTTTAAATTACAAGAAATCCTTTTATTAAGTTGATTCATAGGTATCATTAAGTTATTAAGAAAAAACTGATTTTTTTTATTGTTTTTTATTTAATCAATCAAAATTATTGTAAAGAAGGTTTATATTACTAACATACAATATAAATGATAGGTTATTTCATTGCTCAAGGCGGTGCCAAAATTACTGATATTAAGCAGAATACTTAATACAGTACTAGTCCTTTTTCGCCATTACCAAAATGGTGCACAGCAGAACAAGCCAGGCAAAATTTGTGAGAATGACCAAAATACAAAATTTCTATAATGACTTTTAAATGTGTGCAAACATTCTCTTTACACTTTGAGCTTCCGGGCTGAAGCCCCCAAAATTGTAAAATATAACCATGTTTTATGAGAAAAAAAATTAAAAAATACCTCTTAAAGTATTATTGTTCGTGTAATTACATTTAAAAGGACTTAAGGAATCACTTAAACACCATTTCATATAGGTAGATAGTTTCTTTCTGTTTTTCTAATGTAATTATCGTTATTTTTATGAAAAAAAGTTTTCGGGCTGAAGCCCTCCCCCCAAATTAAATCCTGGATCGGCTAATGACCAGATTAAAAGATAAAATAAAAGTTTAAAATTTCTTATATTGGTGATGGGATCAGGGCGCAATATTTGAAAACCCGCACGACAGTGGTGCTGTGCTGGCATTCTACCTTGTATTAAAAAGAATGTTTTAAGGGGTCACTAAAAGCGTTTTTATATTATAGTGTGACTTATGATAGATTTTGACTAATTATACCGATGCATGGATGAGTTGTATTGAAAAAAATAATTAAAAATTCTAGTAAGGTATACTACGAATATGATTTCAAAAGATTTCGTCCCACTTTAGAAGTTATTAAAATTTTAATATCATTATTCTTGTGTTTATAAAAAATATATTATTCGTTTTTATTTTAGTTGAATGAATGAATGAATATGAAATGAAATGAATGAAAAAATAATTTTATTCTGGGACTACTGTCCCCAAAGAATAATAACAGAGTTACAAATTTATGGGTCTTAGTCTGACATAATGATAAAAATACAAACTAATTTACTGTTAATTGTTATTTACATTACGCAATAGATTGAAATTAAACAGTGTACAGATGCAAGTAATTTTACATGTTAGGGGAGGTTTGAATGTGGAGTAGGTGGTGGAACAGGAGTTGTTTGAAGGAATTTGTGGACGAGGATTGACGCATGGAGGTAGGAAGTGAGCTCCATAAGGAAGCAGCACGAATGACGAAGGATTTGCTGAAGGAAGAAGTTTTATGGGAGGGGATATATAAGTCTAGTAAGGTTGAGACCTGGTATTAAGAGAGTGGATAGGAGAACATAGAGTAAGGAGTTCCAGGATATAGGGAGGATTTTTGGTTCTGAAGGCTTGGAAAAGCAAAACACCAAGGAGGAATTGTCGTCGGGAAGTAGGATAAAGCCACTTCTACTCGGTGTACCAGAGAGAAACATGTGAACGCCTGTGGATCCCGAAGATGTATCTTATGAAACAGTTCATGAGTTTCTTCAGTCTCATTCTAGCCTGGCAGATAGCCCTCCATACACCAAACAGTCATAGTCGAAGTGGGGGAATACAAGGGAGGTTACGAGGAGCTGTCTGGTTTTTAGAGAAATGCAATCATGGAATCTTAGTTGTTTAAGGGCAGTTATGGATTTTCGGGTAATCCGTGAGATGTGGTTATTCCAGGAGAAGTTCTGGTCAAATTTTACTCCTAGGTTTTTGACTGTAGGGAAAAAATGGATGGGATGGTTATTGAGGTTAAGAAGAGGAAAGTAAGGATGGGAGCTAATGAGATGTCTGGACCCGATGATAATAGCCTTAGTTTTATCTGCAGTCAGCTTTAATTCATTTATTTCTGTCCATCTATAGTTATGTTATTGTATTGTGTTAATATAAATATATTTGCATAATTAGGAAAAAACTATTTGTATTTTGTATTTATTCGAACGATATATTGTCATATAAAAAATCATCTGTTACTAAACCGATATATCCTGTAATAATATTACTTTTATTAAATTGTAATATCGCTTAATTGAATACAATAGTTTCATTTAAAAGACTAAAATCTATTTCTTATTTTGTAAATCTACTTTCAGTTTTTCTTTAATATATTATACAGAATGTTTCAGGGTTAAGTGGCCAAACTGAAAATATGAATGAAGGAACTCAAAACAAGAAAAAAAAAATCCTCTGAAGGTATGTCCGTAAACCTTTTGTTTAGGAGATATTCACACCTAAAGATTTTCGATGTTATGAATTATTTCGTTATATGAAATGAATAAAACCTATTTATTTGTTCTGACTACTTTATTAATTAAATGTAAACATTCACATTCATATTAAATGTTGTTCAAAGTGATTTCCTTGGCCGAACGGCATTAATTAAGGTCATTGACCGGACTTGCATAGACGTTTTGTTTAATGTCAACCCCCCCAAAAAATCCAGTGGTGTCAGGTCTGGAGAGCGTGCAGGCCAAGCCACTGGTCTTGCTCGGCCAATCCATTGATTGGGATATGGGACATGATTGAGCAAGTCCGGTCAATGACCTTAATTCCTTACGAAGAAGGATAATTGAATCTTGTGAAACAATAACAGATATCCAGTGCCGTTCTGCCACTGCTGCTGTTGAAGAAATATACCGACCATATCTTAATGCTCAAGGAAATCACTTTGAAAAACATTTAATATGAATGTTAATGTTTACATTTAATTAATAAAGTGTTAGAACAAATAAATAGGTTTTATTTATTTCATATAACGTAAATAATTCATAACAACGAACATGTTTAAGTGTGAATATCTCCTAAACAAAAGGTTTGAGGACATGCCTTCAGAGGATGTTTTTTCTTGTTTTGAGGTCCTTACACATTTTTTCAGTTTGGCCACTTGACCCTGAAACACTCTTGGCAAAAAGTACTTCGGCATAGTACCCGTTCGACTTGGGCGCTTGTTTAGCGTTTCGCGAAACATCTGGAAGATATCTTCTTCCGGTGTCCATCGCCAGCTTCCGTAAGTTTTATTTCCTTTTTTTTTAAGGTTGCTTGTAAAGGCGTCAAACAACCAGATCATTTTCGCCTAATTTCGCATGCTTTCTTTAAATCTTTCTTTCACAACGGCTCATGGAGTCTCTTTATCAACCTGCAGTACGTTCAAAACAGTCCACTTTACCCGGCACACTAGAGCCGCTTTCAGTGAATCTATTCATTTTTCTTCGTTTTTTTCCTAAAAGATCGATATTAGCCTGTCATCGCCTTTAAGAAAATGATTTAACTTACCTGTCTCCCCGGCGAACCTTTCGAGGTTGGAGTTGGCCTTCTTTAGGTCTTATGACATCGCCGAGCATACCTTCATATGTTCGAGATTATTTGCCCTGGCTTCTGTCATGGTTTCTCTTAGTAATTGTGGGGATTATGATTAAACATTCAGACTTACCGCCCGAAAAATGCCGTCATCTCTCGAAACAATCAGCCTGGCTTATGTAAAAAGGGGGGGGGAATGGGTTATTCGTTCTTAGGTCTTTCCATATTTAAAGGTCCCGGGTTTTGTCACCGATTATGTTCCGGTAGCTATGAAGCAATAAAATATAGGGTGATGTCAGGAGAAACAAAATAAACGGTATATATATATATAGATATAAATGTATATATACCTACGCTAGATTACTGAGTACAGTGTTGATTTTTATTATGTTAGTGTTTACATTTACTAATTATCACTTTAATCCATTTCAGAGGAGAAATCCAAGTTGAGTTGTCATGATATAAATACCATACTTGATTACCATAACGAATGTAGAGACAAGGTGGCAGGTGGAAGAACTAAGCTAGAGGAAGGAAGCGACATATGGGTTCTTGTGAGTTCGTTTTTCTAATTCCGTTATATTTTGAAGTTAATGTTCAAGAACTTTTAGCTAAAGTAGATACACCCTTTAAACATGCACAAGTCTTCAAGGATAGGAAGCAACAGTCTTCCATCGACATCAGCAATAAAGAAAGCATACTTTTTTATGAGACTCTTAGTTTCATAAGAATAAGAATAATAATGGAAATGTACACTCGCTTAAAATTAATAAAATATCGTTATAGTAATTAATTGGAGTCAAGAGGTTATTGTGATTGAATGCCATCATTACAATTACAGTAATAAAAAAAAACTAGTTTATTCAAAGAGAAATCCCACAAGGTATCTTTCATCCTAATGCATTCGATGTATAGGTGAGATCAACCCTACAGGTATATTCATATATAAAATGTAGTGGCAACAAGATAATCCATCCAACGCACAAAATCTTTATATTTTACCACAACTGTTAAAGGGACAGTAGGAATTTTCCCACTAAAAAATACACTTACAGTTTAATAGTTAACCAATGAGACATAGTTATCTGAGAACTTATACTATATTATATACTGTAATATAGATGTACTTTCAAATCTCTCTAGGCATATACGTAGATAAGTAGCTCAGAGACTGGAGTTACGTGGTTTACAAAACAAATGGAGTACAGAGGTTTTTATTGTCTAACGTTGATATAATTAATAGGGTTAATAAATAACAAATTTTTTGTTATTATAATGGTTTTAATGATTTGCTAGCGGTAATCTTTAAGCTGTAGCTCCGTTAAAAGTGTACTTTAAAAATTTTATAATTGCTCGTCATTGACAGAAAATAATTTCTATTCAAAGCAGAGGTGATTGAAAGTTGTGTGTGGAGCGCACCAGAATTTTTTGTTTTTATTCATTAATAATATCCAAAAGATTCTGTCTGTGTTATCCGAAACACCCACGTGATCATAGAGCAATTCTCCCTTATTTTCCTTTTCAATTGATTTTCATCATGTCAGAAACCTAAAAAAACAAAACACGGTAGGTATCCAATGGCAAATATAACATCTAAGAGGCGTTCGGCAGGAATCACGATTTATCTCGAAAACAGGACATGTTTTCACGCATTCTTCTTGATGAGGCTAGAAGAAAGATTTAGTCTGAGCCGAATCGCTTGAAACCAAACTCTACGAAGCACTGGAGGATCTCAGGAGAATCATTAATTTTCTTATTTTAACACCGGACGTGACCATTTAGTTCGAAGAAGAAGAAGGTCAAGGATTCGATATGAGAGGAATTCGGTTGTTTAGTGGAGCCTCGTAGCTTAATTTGTAAGTCCAAGTAGGCCTTTATAATAGACAAGTAAATGAGTCTTCTATTGTTGACTAACTGATATACCCATTGTTAAAATTTGAGAATCTTTGTAATGGATTTTGTATTATGGAGGGGCGAGAGATACAAATTTAATTTCATAAAATTGGGTGTAGTGGGGAAGGGAGTTAATTTTAATTTTGAGGATTTTTTTTGTTTTCCGATTTCCGGTAATACTAAAAATGTATGCGACAACATCTGTTAGGCTTGGGAAGTTGAATGACACATTGAACGGGAAGTTGAAAAATTAGTGTGTTTTACCCATGTTTTAAGCGACAACGCGTTATAGCTGTTCGGGATTTCGGATTTTTCCCATTGAGTTGTGATAATTTTTTTTTCCATCAGTTGAATAGTACCACTTTTAAATGAGGCTCGCGGTTGAGTAGGTTGGGATGAGAATCGAAGTAAGCAACTGCCTAAACTCGACAAATTACTCAAGAATTCATAACTTTGGTTCTACTCAATATATTCTTTTCATTTAATTCCTATGTTTTAAGTCAAGCACACCTAAATATAATGTCAAAAGTCTACCATTAGCCATTGCTGAGTTTATACCTGACGAAATTTCGTTGGACAATGCAGGCATACAGACAGACAAAAAACTTTAAAAGTGGATTTAGTATCTGTAATGTATGAAACGGAAAGATATCATGAAACGGGTTGATTCTATTCAATGTACAGATAAAACATTTGTTTTATTTATATAGATTGGCAGTTTACAGCGCGTGTCTAGTAATTGTTGAACTAGCCGGTAACCTCTCGCAGTATTATTTAAGGATACTGTTAGGCAGGAGATTATAAGTTAGCGAATAATTTATCTGGAATTTCAAATTAAAATAATTATAGAGCTTTCGAAAAAAATATGGAGTTATTTATTTTTTATTGTATCTCACTGAATATATATACATACTTATATTTAATTCGAAAATAAATTTTTCTTTTCAGAAATGGGATGAAGAATTGGCCAAAGTGGCCCAGGATTATGCAAATAAATGCACTATGACACACAATCTCGAAAGACGTAAGTATAACTTAAGGCACATAAGATATAGAAATATTTCAATAACTACTAAGGTATTGCTAACGGACTGCTTGAAATTCAACGATTGGCAAGTATGGTTAATTTGCTGAGGTAACAGAGAAGTGTGATGTTCGATAATTGAAAAATTGGTTGTTTTTAAAGCTGTAAATAAAAAAAAAAAGACTCCGCAGGGATATTGGTATTTTAAAATGGTGCCATAATGTGATAGAAATGATTGAAACTAGAATTTTGTAATTTCTGTAATGGATGGAGCTAGGTCCGGTGAATAGGAAGGGTGGGGCAAAAGGTCCCATCCTCTAGCGGATCCAGGATTTAATTTTGGGAGGGGGTTTCAGCCCAAAGGTTTTTTTTTTTCACACACATATATATATATATATATATATATATATATATATATAAAGATAATTAATTAGAAAAAAAAGAAAGAAATTAATTACTTATGTGAAATGGTGTTGAAGTCCTATTAAATGTATTTACACGAACAAGATTATGTTAAGAGATAGTTTTTAATATTTTTTTCTGTAAAGTATGGTTATATTTTGGCATTTTTGGGAGGAGAGGGGGCTAAGGGGGGGGGTTTATCTCCAAGCCTAATTTATTTACGGATCTCTGGTTTGTGTCATTTCGTGTATATTTCTAAATGCATGCAAATTTTCGTATGAATAAGTGTAGCCATTTCGTAGTTATCTCACCTTTTGTGATTTTTTGGAATAAATCGAATGCTTGGTGGAAGTTTTGAGCAAAAAATTTTTATTTTTCGATTGATATGAAAATTCGTATTTGAAGTTTTTTTGAGATGTTAAATACAAATCTCAACTTTTTTTCTCCTTAAAAAAATATTTTAACCCTCTTTACTCCATAGGTCAGGACTAATTATTTCAATATTGTACTCATTTTATAGTTATATGCTAAATATATATGTGTATATAACTATAGAATGACGTGTATCGAAAGTAAGATTAAATTCATATAATCTGTTATTTTTTCGAGATTCGATCAGAAAATAAGAACATAGAATGTATTCTACATATTATACCATGAAATATATTTTTGGGAATAAAATAAGATAATAATCTTTTTTCGCGCCTCTATAACCCTTAAATCAAACTTTTCGTTTCAATCGAAATATGTAAATTATTTTCTCAATAATCTAACTTCTATTAATAGCTATTATTCATTATAGACCATTCTATGTTTATAGTATCAATATAGTTTTTGTTTTAAAGTTTTTGTACCTATATTGAAAATTACATCTCTGTTACATTGAAAATGAAGCTAAAGCCACTGGAGAAAATCTTGCTTGGTTTGCTACATCTCAAAATAAGAGGTGTGACGTGAAAGACTTAATTAAAATGTGGTACGACGAAATAAATAATTATAAACCGGATGTTTCTATAACTTATCTACTGACAGGACACTTTACTCAGGTATATAAACAATATTTAATCAAGTTTATTTATTTGTTATTTTATTTTCACTTACATATATATTAAATAAACAGGGTGTTTCAGGGTTAAGTGGCAAAACTGAAAATATGAATGAAAGACCTCAAAACAAAAAAAACAACCTCTGCAGGTATGTCCGCAAACGATTTGTTTAGGAGATATTCACACCTAAAGATTTTCTTTGTTATGAATTATTTACGTTATATTAAGTAAATAAAACTTGTTTTTTTGTTCCAAATACTTTATTAATTAAGCGTAAACATTAAATTCATATCCAATGTTGTTCAAAATTATTTCTTTGAGCATTAAGACAGGTTCTGCATCTTTCTTCAACAGCAGCAGTGGCAGAACGGCACTTATTTCGTTATTGTTTCACAAGATTCAATTATCCTTTTTCGTATGGAATTAAGGTCATTGACCAGACTTGCATAGAATTTTTGTTTAATATCACCCCAAACAAAAAAACCCAGTGATGTCTGGAGAGCGTGCAAGCCAAGCCACTGGTCCTGCACGGCCAATCCATTGATTGGGATGATTAACATTTAGCCATTGTTCCGTAATGAGCAGGACAACCGTCTAATTGAAGCCGCACGTCCCTTCTCAGTTGTAGTGGAATATGTTCAACTAAATCACAGTAATCATTTTTTTCTCGTTTTGAGGTCTTTAATTCATTTTTGCAGTTTGGCCACTTAACCCTGAAACACTCTGTTTAGTAAGTGTAAGTATTGCCATCGTAAACATTTTCGAATTCGAGTTTTCAAAGGAAATACACGTTTTGAGATATCTTGAGTCAGAATAACCAAATCTCACAAAAGAAATTTGTGTGAAATGTCTAACTCAAAATTGTAAATTTCTACAAAACTGAAATTTCGTATTTAAGGTTTGTATCTGCCAGGGTTTTTAAATAAACTTTTTCTTCAAAACCGGCATACTGGAAGTGACACTTTATGTCATCGATTTAACATATTTTTACGCATATTTAATGCAATTTAATGCAAATGATTTTCCATGTTAATATTACTCACCTACTATGAGATAATCTAAAATGTTTTTGTAATAGAGTAAGTTTATACAAATATAGGAAAAATAATATTTAATATACAATTGTAGAATAATGTAACTAAAAAAATTATAAATAATGATTTCAGAAAATAAAATATTATTCAACGGAAACCAAATGTTTCCATCAAAACTAAATGAATTTCCCTAACTAAAAGTAAATGTTTAAAAAATATTTTAAGGTTATATATAGATTTATATTTACATATCATTTTCATCGCATATCGTCCAAACAATGCAGTTCTTACCAAACCAGGAGGAAATAAAAGAAATGATGGGTAGAGGAGAATACGAGTGGAACAGCGATGGTTTCGAAATTTCATGGAAAGTCTTCAAATCTACACAAGCGACAGCAGGAGGAAATGTTTGTAGCAAGAGCAGGATAAAGCAGAAAAATAAAAGATCACTATGATGGGATGACTAGGTTAAAGAAACAATTTATTTTTATTTATTTATTTATATATATATAATATTCTGTCTCGTGGACAATTATTTTAGTGATAAATGTACACATTCACACCATATATACAGAAAATACAAAATTAACAAAAGTAAAATGATGACAAAGAAACAATACAAAAAAAAGAAAGGGCCCTGGATCACAGGATGATTTCAATGGTCACCTAAGCCAAATAAGATTTCTGAGGGAAATTTGGAGAGAAATTGGAAGAAAACTTCAGGGTCATCCAGAAGATCTTCTCTTGGAAAGGAAAGAAGAGCCCGTGCTGAAGTTTATAAACAACAAGAATGGTACAATCCTGTCACTACCCAGAATTTTAGTGAGCTTCTAGAACAGGACATCACAAAGATAGAGGTAGAACCACAACCTGAAAACACATTTATGAATCCAGGATGAAGGCCTGAAAGAGGATGATTGCTTTTATGGAAGGACGAAAGTTTGGAAGCCAGAACCACTTAAGATGGAAAAGTCAGCAGGAAATGATGGCATACCACCAGAGAGAAGAAACTGGGGACCTAAGGTATGAAAATGTTGCAGCATCTTTTTAATCTGGCATGGAAGACTAAGAAGATGCCAGAAAACTGGAACTCTCTGTTCGATGTTCCTAGAATGTCCATCTTTTAAATTAATTTTTCTATACCTCTCCCTGTTTATCTTCATTTTCGATGATTTCTTATGTCGTTTTAAATATTATTCATATCTGCTTCATTATTCTCTATCTCATTTTATACGTTGTTGGATGAAACGAGATGGAACGAAGACCGAAACAAATTCCAGCATTGGAACATCCCGTCCCGTTTAGACCAGAATTCGGAATTTCAAATCCCTAGTCGATAGTAATATCGATATATCAATATTTTAAAACTATATATAGTCCCAATCGTAATATTATTTCGACTCTTATACATAAAAGTAAAATATTTGTCAAATAAATGTCGAATTGTAACAAAGATTGTTCGTGGTGTGTTTAAATATTTCAAAGAGAAATTATTTGAGTTTTAAATGATTCTTGCTAATTAATTTTTAACAGTAATAGAAAAAAACGCAACACAAATTTTACACGATAAAGATAAATAAAAGTTGTAAATAAATAACATGTTTGATTTTAATTTTCTTTTTATTGAATTTGACAGATGATTTGGGCAGACACGAAATACATTGGTTGTGGAGTTGTTTTTTATGAAGATGGTACTAGCTCAAAAACTCCATATCAGACCATGTTGGTGTGCAACTATCAACCACCGTAAGATTAAATATCTGTATTATCTATTTTTGCTATGAGATTACATTATGTTATAGTAACTCATTATTAAAAATCTATATCTTTTTTATATGCAGCTTTACGCTTAGATGGCTCTCCTAACCTAGAGATCTTTTATAATTTATCTGCATTCCTTTTTAGGTTTTATTCGTTCCTGATCCGTTCGTTCAGTCTTTTATCCACTTCATCATTTTACCTGATGTTCTTCACTCTTTTTTTCCCCTCTATTCTACGACTAATTTAGGTAGTCATTATGACACCATCCTATATAACGTCTATACAAGAGGTTCCTAACCTTTTTTCAGCTGCGGGCACATTTATAGGTTATGTTTTGAGTGGCGGGCAGGGTGTTTTTGTTCATTGTAAATTTCGGGTAGGTCTATTAAGAAATCAATAAACACACACACACACACATATATATATATATATGCATAGTAGCAGACGCAGACATCTTTATCATTTCTAAAACTAATGATATATATTTTTACAGAAGAGGCGAAAACACCAAGTGAAATGATTTTTTAAATTTTATATAGTATTCTTTTATTATATAAACATTTTTAAATTAAACTTGAAAATTAGTTAAAAGCAACATGGGCTATAACTAGTTATAAAATGAGTTAAATGCAATGTTGCCAACAGTTTCATTCGTTTTTTTTTACTACCAAAGAAAGTGATTAATCAAAACAATAGTAGTGATCGATCGGTTTCAGAGAAATGAGGATGAATATTCAATATTACTTTTAGTGCTGTTTATCTTGATGAGTAGTTAGTTATTGGTAAAATGTTCAGCAACCGGTTATTTACATTTTATCTTTGATCGAAAGTTTTTATTTCCCCCTTTGATAAGGTAACAAACAAATAAGCAGTGAAGCCACTAGCTACAGACGAGTTAGGAGACTACCTCTTGTGAGATAAGAAATGGATGCAGTACTTCTCCATCACAAAATTATTTTAATAATAAAAATTATCATAGCGGTTATCTACCATATTGAACTAATTACACATATTTTAATTAATCTCATGTAATATCATTAATTATTTAATATGTGTTTTCTGAAAGTGGTAACTACGTAGGCGAAATACCGTACAAGATGTATGAAGGTAAAAGATGTACCAGAGGTGTTCAATCTACCAAATATAACAACCTATGCGGTAAGTGTGCAGTAAAGGAAATTCCATTCTTTAAATATATATATATTTTTTCATGTTTTCATCTAAAGATATTTCTACTTTGTATTGGTCTATTGTTTTTAATGAATAAATAGGTAATCTTTATGTTTGCTTTCAATTAGGAATGTTAATATAGAGGACAATAACCCTTAATCCTTAATTCAATGAAATGATTCTAGATTCCAATGTTTCCAGGATTATAAACGAACCATTATTATTCTAAAAGAAGTTAATTACATCATCGTTTAGTGGCGCGTGTTTCCTTCTCTTGCCTTCACTACTTCTTGAAGATGCCTCGGCATACTTTCCACCAGTCGGGAAACGTCCCTTTGCTGGAGGATAGCCCATTCCTCCCGAAGAGCCCTTTCAAGGTCCTGCAGTGTATCAGGAAGTGTTCCATGCGCTCTTATTCGTCTTCCGAGGTTATCCCATAAATGCTCAATGGGGTTCAAATCTGGGGAAGGTGCTGGCCAGGCTAAAACCTCAATATTGTTCTGTTGAATTAACGTCTGCACTATGCGGGTGACATGTGGGCGTGCATTATCGTGCATTAGAATAGAACAATCGCCGATTTCGTTGAGGATAGGCAACACATGAGGTTCCAAAATCTCATCTACATAGCAAATGGCCGTCAAAGACCCTCCACGTACAACAGCTCCATTGAAATCCCAGCCCCCACCATTAAGGAACCATGCTGGAAAGGTTGGCTTTGGGAAAAATTACAGGCTGTATATCTTTCGTTTCTTCTTCTCCACACCCTTTTACGCCCGTCTGGAGATCGAAGAGCGCATCTTGAATCATCTGTAAAAAGCACAGCACTCCATTCGTCCATAGTCCAATGGCTTTGTTCTTGAGCAAAAGCCAGCCGTGTTACTCTGTGATTTCTGGTCAACTCTGGTCCTCTTACTGGACGAAAAGCCATTAATCCATACTCATTTAATCTTCTCCTAGCGGTACGTACGTTCAGAAATTTGCACACCTCGAACTTCTTGGAACTGATGAATCGCTTGAACAACGGTAAGGTGCCAGTTTCGTAAAATTCTCAAAGTCAAAAACCGGTCATCCCGTGGTTCTGTTACCCTAGGCCGTCCAGAACCGGGCCTATTGTATTCTATTGTAAGAACCATTTTCCCGAAAACGCCCGACGGCGTCTCGTAAAGTTTCATATGGGACTCCGATGGCATTAGCTGCATATCTAATAGAAAGTCCATCATCAATAAGTGCCACACCATGCGCAACATCCTCAGCACTAAGAGGCATTTTTAAACTTAATATTGAAAAAATTAAATGCCTAAGAAATGTGCTGCAAGAAACGGCACTGAACCAATGATACTGAATAAACATTTTGATTCCATAGAAAGTAAACATTGGAATCTAGAATCATTTCATTGAATTAAGGATTAAGGGTTTTTGTCCTCTATGTTAATATTCCTAATTGAAAACAAACAAAAATATTACCTATTTATTCATTAAAAACAATAGACCAATCCAAAGCAGAAATATTTTCAGATGAAAACATGAAAAAATCAAGTGGGTGGAATTTTTTGCCTGTCAGTGTATATATATAATCACTAAGGAATTGGTCAATATATCCTTAATATAAATCATACTTAAAGCGTTAGTGAATTTGTGCTCCTAAACTAATAAATTATGTCTAATAAATTAATAATAAAATAAATTATCAAGGTTTACATTGTGCTTTAAAATGTTTATGGACTTTTCGACCACCTGCGTTATTTTCGCCCCAATTTACAGTATATTATAATTAATAAATAATATGATGTTATAATTATATTAAATATATATATATATATATATATATATATATATATATATATATAAACTGTATCACTACAATCCATGAAGGCTCTAACTATTATATTTAGGGAAAACAATTTCTTGGTCAACGGTTGAACAAGGAGGTGACCGAGATCACGCTCAACCACCAGGTTTTTCCTCTTAATTAATTATTTAATCAAGGTTACCCCACTCTGTAGAGGCTGAGTGTACCTTACTCACACCTTAGACCTTAGTTACACCTTAGAACGGGAAGATCAATAGCCTACCACTGAGCTACACCACCCTCTATGTAATATATAGTATAATAAATAATATTGCAATATTAATTAATAATTTAAATGAATGAATTACCAATTTTAACGTCAATCGATTTTAGAAACATTTTGAAGCTCTGAACCTTATACTTTATGAATGTTTGAGAAAAACATATTTGTGGTATCTTGAATTCCTCTCTACGTAATAGCGTATTCACATAATAAACCAATCAGATGAGATCATAAAAATATCATTTTTTAAAAAATATTTTGATATATGCATACAAGTATTTTGTCATTTTATACAACAGTTTTTTAAAAATAATTTATTTATTAATTTTCAAAGGTTTAATATAAGATTACGTAAAATGTATTTCTTTTCCCATTCGGCTTCATATTTAAAGTATCCAAATGAATCCTTAATATACTTACTACTTAATAGATATTACTTAATTGAAGTTATTGTTAATAATGATACTATGATATAAATTTAAAAATATAATGTAATTTCTTTTTATATCTCTTAATATATATTTTTTAATTTAATGTTTATTGTTCTTACAGCCCACGATGAGATGCATGCCAATGGAACATATAGCCCTCCATGTCCGCATTTAGCCCATAGTAATAGCTTCAAGATACAACCTACGGCAATATTATTACTTATTTTCTTGATATTAGCATTATAATTTTTAGGTAATATGTAAATAAATCTGTTAACAAAACGAATATTTTTTTAATCAAAGCACAGGGACATATTTGTATGACATAATTCTGTTTTTACTCTTTCTTATTTTCATGGTTATATTTTTGTTGCTTTAATTTTTTAATATATTCAGATAGTAATTTTATTTTTGGTTATGAGAGCATTTTGTTTGATTTGTTTAGACATTCTAATTATTTTTTGTATCGTTTTCTCACTTTAGGAACAGACTTTTCGTTAACTATCTTGTATATTTTTTACTTTTCCTCATTTCTATTATCTGGGAAAATTTTCTTCTTTATTTCTTTTGGGAGACGTGGAGCATGGAAAATATCGTTTTGACTTTAAGCAACAACCTGAGGCAATATTATAATTTGTTTCCTTGTTCTGTGATTATCATCGTTATAATTTTTAAGCAACGTATAAGTAAACGCACATTTCTCTTATTAAAGCCGTATTTCTGAAATAGAAATGAAATAATGAAAGTTTTAGTAAAGCTTTATGTTCCTTTAGCTACCTCCCGCAACACGGTAGGCTTCTTATATTGGGAATTGGCATATTTCTGACATATTTCATAATGTCATTTCACAATATTCGGCCGATAAAGAAGTCTTTCAGTTTGGCCAAACATTTTGCCATCCTTTGGCGAGCATAATGCACTTTTCATAACGTTGATATGTTTTATACTATTGATATAGGTACTACCATCTGATATACTAAATTTTTTTTTTAATTCCTTTATTTTTCATTGCTCCTCCCCTTCCTCGCCGTGAAGGCTATACGGGGTTTTCTCGGGACAGGGGGTGTGGACGGAGATTTAAAAGACGCCTTGGTAACGGGACGCGAACTCGTGACTATTTTTATATGATTTATTATATATCAGGTTGCCGGGCAAAGGTGGTGCTGTGCACACGCGTTAGTCCATTCGGCCACCCCGCCCTTCTGAGATATTACCAATGACAAGCCGTAACAATATATCAATTCGTCTAATATCATATCATCACAGTAGCGGGTCTTTAGTCTTATGACATCCTTCATCCACAACTTAATTTTTTTTTACTCTCTTTCCTCGCCTTTTAGGCTATACGAGGGTTCCCGGGCTAGGGGATGAGGGCGGGGAATTAATGTCAGAGTTAAAAGCTTCCCGGCATCGAGACGCGAACTCTCGGTTACTGGGCAACGCCCGGTGCTGTGTACACGCTTTAGCCCGCTCGGCATCCCCGCCCCTAATTGGCGTACTTACTTCAAGTCTCTCTTTTTTTCATCAAAAATTTTCATGTTCTTAATCAGACTAATGACATATGCATCTGTTTCATCCTCACTTATGTTCTCCAACGCTCTTGACAGTGTATGCGCCATCCATATTTCTTTTTCCTGTTTATGAATTCGATTTGATATCTTTGGAGTCTTAATACCGTATTTTGCAACTTAGAAGGACAGAGATGAATAGGCTTTTTATGAATCATTCCCAAGGTATTTATGGTCCTATTCGACCTTAAAACGGTGAACATAAAATCGCTCGCATTCAATAACAACAGCCAATATTTCCTTCTCAATATCTTTCAACTTCTGTTAAACTTCTTGAAGCATATGCAAGTGGTTGACTCTCCTGCATCAAAACCGCTCCTCAATCATCGCGGGAAAAGTCTACTGACACAGTTATTGATAAACCAGTATCATAATATCTAAGGACATATTCTGTAGTTAAAGCCAGCTTCGGAGCCCGAAAAGATGCTTGTTACTTCTCTTCAATGCTGTTCTATCTCTTTTTGCAGTAATTTGCGCTAAATATTTATGACATTTTCCTAGGTAGTTTACTAAACTACCTAATTACTACTACTAAATCTTTCTAGATATTTTCTAGATTCAGGAAGAGACATGCACTCTATGGCTACTAATTTGTCTTTATCTGGGGCTGTATACCCGACGATTACTACTTCTTTTACTCCAAACATACACGTTTTATCTTTAAATTAATTCTCTTCCTTCGCCCTGTCCAGAACAACATTCAAATTAGCACCGTACTCTCAAATTGCCCTCGTACAATCCCACACCAGTATATCATCCACAATCCCTTGGTGGGGATGGGCACTCCTGACGATAAGTAACCTATAACTGGATATATTGAAGGAAGTTAGTCGACTGTTCTACATATCATGGGTGATAAAGATTCAGAACGCAGTCATTATAAAGTTTTTATTGGTGCTGACGTTTCAACCCAAACATGTGGGTCATCATCAGGGCGTGTTTCGAGCACTGAAGGTTTTCGAGTACTCCATCAAGTATTCAGTACTTGAATACCTTCACGCATATGATGACCCACATGTTTGGGTTGAAACGTCAGCACCAATAAAAACTTTATAACGTCATGAATATTTATCACCTACTATAACTGAATACAATATTACTAACATATGATAACAGTAATATAACCTTACAAATATCTTGAGCTTTAATATGAGGTTATCCGGAACAAATAAAAAAGAATTAAAAAAAAAAAGATTATCACAGAGGGAGATTCTCGATAAATTCGAGAAAATGATCAAAAATATAATGGGTCTTGTAGCGGAGAAGAAGAAGCAAGAAAGTAAGAAATGGACAACGGAAAGAAATGGAGAAATGGGAGAAAATAATTAAAAGAATACAGGAAGAAAAAAACAACAACCTAGAAATGATATAAGCGCTATCCATCGTTGACCTGTATTGCGATAAATAAATAAGTACTACATACATAATCCACTAGATCGAGGACAATGAAATCTTATTAAAAACTATTTTATTGTTGTTATGTGAGAGAAGTGGAATACATATACAAAAATCTGGTGCGCGTATCGCACGACTTTCTCTTACCACCCTCTTCTTAGAAGAAATAAATATTCGCAAAGTGAAATTAAAAATTATAGACGCTGTATTTATTTGCATTTAACTATGGGTATTTTTACTTGTTTGGTTACCCTTATTTATAATAATTTTAATTTTTATATCGCTATAATCCATACAATTAAATATCAAATAATACCAACGATAGCATTTATAAAAATCTCATATGTACATGTAAATAATATTATTGGAGCCCATATTATATTAAGCTCATGTTACGTATGGAAGCATGTCTTTCCGTTACGATCTCTTATTTCTCCTTTAGTTCATTATTAAATTCTTTAATATTTTATATTTAACTATTTTTCATATCAAAAATTAATATGAAATCGTTAATTATTTCAAATAAAAAAAATTAAATGTACCTTAGAGGAAGCTAATATTGAAAATTAGCCATTTGAGCCCAGTCAGAGAACATCAATTAGAATAAAGTATAAATTTTATTAAAACTGCTTAATAATACACTGATAAACTGAGCTAAATCAATATCGTTAGAGCTGTTTTTGAGAAAATCGTAAAAATATGTTAAATCGATGATATAAAGTACCACTTTCGGTTGGCTGATTTTGACGAAAATGTTGCTGTAACATCCCAGACATATAAAAACCTTAAATTCACAATTCACCTTCGTACGAATTTTTGTTTTTGAGCTAGACTGTTAACACACACACACACAGGTAACTTTGTGGGACTTCGTTATTTGGATTCAGGGGACCTCAGAACGTGTAGTTCAGCTGAAAACTCAGATTCGAAAATGTTCACGATAGCAATACTTACCCTTACGATACATTGCATATTTAGTTAAATGAAAATAAAAAGCGGTATACAAAAATATTTCATGTAGTGAGTAAAACATATGTTTATAACCTCAAATAAATTTACTATAGTCTAATAACTTATAATATAATTAAATAATTCGTTTTACTGTGCAACATCTGGTGTTCTATGCTTGTCAAAAATGAAACGTTAATTTCTTTTATATATACAATCACCAGCACCTTCTATATTTGTAACTTTTATAAGTACTGATATATACAAATAAAGTGCGTTTAGACATTTCACAATCTATGGAAAACACAATTAGCGACATTACCTTATTCCCAGATTTTTTTTTATTTCTCTTCTTATCGAAAGTAGATGGGAAACATAAAAAACAAGAAGAAAAAATCCACTAGTATAGGGGAACAACATCCAGATATTTGTGTTTAACACAGTTTTTGTAATGTCTAAACGCACCTAAAAGTTTTTAAACTTTTTCTCTGGATTTTGATCAAGTCAGTTGTTCTAGATATTATCGAGAAATTATTACAGCTGTCCTACGATGCGCATTTGTCAGCATATGACTCCAAGACATATGTGATATATTATTTAATGACGATATTGCTTTATAATAATATTGATTCATAAGCAAAATCATTAAGAATATTGTCAATGATTTCCTTAATATTTCAGCTTTTGGTACTAATGCGTATCTTCAGACCATCTGAGTCATATTGTAATATTAATAGTAAGTAGTAGATGTTAGCTATCAAGAAATTAACTTGATTCATATGTATCAATAAGATATTAAGAGAATACAGATTTTTTATTGTTTTTAATTTCGCCAATTAAAAGTAATTTAAATAAGGTTTAAATTGTTTGCATTGAATTAAAATAATAGGTCATTTCAGTGCTCATGGCGATGATGAAATCACTATACTGTACTGTTCCCCTTTCGCCATTCCAAAATGGCGCACAGTAGGACGAGCCAGGGAAAACTTGTGACATTGACCAAACAAACATTTTCTTTATACTATGAAGTATATTATTAACTGTTCCAAAGGGTTCTAATGATAAAATGTTAATAAATATTTTCTAAAATAAACGGTTCAATTTATAATACACAAAATTAGAAGCTTATAAAATCTCGACTACTAAAATCGCTACTCAATTATAATTCTATTTATATTATCTTTTAAATATTTTATAATAAGTACATTATATTCAGGAGATTAAAAAAATATATCCGCATATCCGGTCTTAATAAGTAATTTATTTTCGGATTTAAATTTTTATAAATTTAACAATTACAAATTTTTTTTGAATCAATGAAAAAAAAATGTAGTTAAGTATACTGCGAATATGATTCCCAAAGATTTCGTCCCAGTTATTAATATTTTATTATAATTATTCATGTGTTTGTAAAAAATATAATATTGATTTTGCCATTAGTTATGATAATATAAAAATGTACTGAACGATATATTATCATACAAAAAATTATCTTTTATTAAACCTATATATCGTGTAGTAAAAATATCACTTTTGTTAAACTGTAATATTGCTTAATTGAATACAATAGTTTAATTTAATAAAACTTTAAAAAATAACAATGACCGTTAAAAATATTAATACACTTGAATTTAAAGAAATTATAATACACTGAAAGAGTCTTTCTTATTCTATAAATGTACTTTCAGTTTTTCTTTAATATATTTTATTTGATAGATTTTGACAAAATTATACTTATTTAAGGATAAGATAATCTTTTTTTCAGATAATAAGTTGAGTATTTTTAACAGATTTATTTTTTTAAAATACTCCGATGACAGAGGATTTTCGTTTGACATTCATCATTTTTTTATTTATTTGGACTTGGTTTATATTAGAACAGGGAAACAAAATGAAAATAATCAAATAAAAAATATCATTATTCCAACCACTAACACATACTTCATATTTAATAGAATACGATCTCCATCAAAATAAACAGTGTACGTTAGAGATAACAAAATTAAATAGAGTATGGTCTATATCAAAATTATAGAAAGGGAATGTTTTTGTGAAAAAACCATAGCCAGAGAATCGAGCATTTCGTCCAACTGTATTGTTGGATGTTGGATTATATTGACGGCAATATATATATATATATATATATGTATATATATATATATATATATATATATATATATATATATATATATATACATATATATTAACAATATATTAATATTGTTGAATATCCTAAGAGGAAGCCTTATCGAGAAGTCCTAATATAATATAATATGTATTAAATTATTAAATGATATTCCATGACTGAGGTTGCTTGGCGGATTTATTTGGTGTCTTGGTTCTTCGAGGAGGAGGAAACACTTTAAATTCAAATTTCGTTTACACTGTTTTACACTGCCTATCCACCCTTCATTTACAATTTTTGTATTTACTTGATGTAAATATTTGTTAAATAAATTTTCAATTTGGGTCGTCTGGTCATCTCCCACCAAACATTTCCCCTCCTCCTCCACTCACCATCTCAAAATGTTAAATTCATTTTGTAAATAAATAAATTTTTATTTCAGTGAATCGTATCACACAGGTTATTGAAGACACAAAGACCATTGCGTGTGATAAAACATAAGAATTATTATAGCTTAAAATTTTCAAGTATGGAAAAGTTGCCAAATTTTGAAAAGTTGTACTTTGAAACCTATTTAAATGATTTAAAATTATAGAAAATTTAATCTAGTTTAAAAATATATAGTGCTTTCATAGTCTAAATGGGGGAAAATGTGCGAAAATACAGCAGTTCTGGGGATATTCAAAAGTGAACCGGGGCCGATGAGGAGGTAAATTTGGATATCGCATCTCAGTCATATCCCATACAAGAAAAAAAAAAGAAACATTGTACCACCACTTGTTGCAACTTAGAATCCCCTTTTTTATGACAAGGATACTTGACTTATGGAACTATTTCGATTTATATTAACGTTGTTGTTTCATAAAAGGTAGAAGCATCACTTTAATGAAATTATCTGTAAGAAGTCATTTTTCATTGAGTTTCACAAAAATATTCCTTTTTGACGGAACGATCAAGTGGAGTTAGAGAGTAGTAAAAAAAGAGAAACGTTTAGTACAAGGATGCAATATATAAACACAGCCATAGGCCGTGGTTAACACGTTCCACCTTACTAATTTTTTAGGGAGCGGTGTGACCGAATAAGCTAACGTGCGTGCACAGCACTGCGAGTTGCCCGACAACCAGATAACCAAGTTTTGAGATTGAAGAAAAGTACGAGTTCGCGTTGAAAGTTGGTTGTACTATTATTATTGGTAATTTGTAATCGATCGAAAACAGCTCCCATTTGACAAAACCATGACCCGAGTCCAATCCTCCAAAAGGGTGTGGTTTTATATTTTATGTAATTTGCAACTAACCATTCGTGTTTCTGTAACCCAAAGGAGACATTGAGATCTTTCTAGGGACGGCAAAAACCTATGCTAGACTAATGAGAACAATATTGATTTTTGTTATTTTCGTATTTACATTTACCAATTATTACATTAATCCATTTCAGAGGAGAAATCCAAGTTGTGTTGTAGAGATATAAATCTCATTCTTGATTACCATAACGAACGTAGAAACCTGGTGGCAGGTGGAAAAACTAATCTGGAACAAGCAAAAGACATGTGGGTTCTAGTAAGTTCATTTTTTTATATAAGTTTTATAATTCTTTTATGTTTTGGAGTTAATATTTTATATTTAAGTACTCTTAGCTAAAGTAGATAAATACAGAATAAGTCTCTAAGCATTTAAGCATGCGCAAGCGACATCAGAAATAAAGAAAACAGTCTTTTTTTCTGGGACACTTGGTGAATTTATAAGTTTGTTGAATTTTTATAAGAAGTTTGTTGAGAATTTATAAGAATAGTGAAAATGTACAATTACTGTTTCATTTGTCTTCCATAAAACTAATATAATATTGTTTCACATACTTGAAATCAAGAAATAATTGTAATTGAATGCCTCCATTACAATTACAGTTATAAAAAGAAACGATACCAAACTAGTTTACCGAAAGGGAACTCTCACATTATTTAGCCTTCTTTCATTTTTCTTTTTTCTTTCTTAGTGGATTTGGATGGCCTGAAGTTGATTATGAAAGAATAGGTATCTGAATTGCAATGAATCGACAACTTATGTTACATTAAGGTCATTATGGATAATTTTATTTTTAACAAAGTAAGGAGCATTGAGCATTTTGCCAAGTATATCACACTGTGAGGATTGCAACGAGAGGAATTTAATGCTTTAGTGAAGCCTTATGGCTCAATTTCATAAGTCCAAATAGGCCTTATATGAGACAAGTAAATGAGTCTTTTACAGTTGATTGGCAGTGTGTTTGAAGTAGGCAGTTTTTTGTCGTTTCAATCTTGTATGAGGATCTCAAGATAGACATTTGTCCAGATGGAGTCATAGGAAGCGGTCCTGTTAATGGGATGAGTGAACTATTATTGGAGGATACTGTTGCACAGTGAGCAGATGTACGACGGATGTATCTGGAATTTCAAATTAAAATAATTTTAGATTTTTCAATGTGAAGTTATTTATTTTTGGAAGTAGAGGGCTTATCTTATTATTAACAGCTCTTAGCTATAACCAGCACTCATAAAAAGAATATACAAACTTATATCTGATTCGAAAACGATTTTTTCATTTCAGAAATGGAATAGAGAATTAGCCAAAGTGGCCCAGGAATATGCAAATAAATGTACGAGGCGAAACAACCTTGGATTACGTAAGTGTAACTTAGAGCACATAAAACATACATATTTTTTCTAGCAACTTAGGTATTGTTAACGGACTGCTTAAAATTCAATGATTGACAAGTATGGTTAATTTGCTTAGATAACAGAGAAGTTTGATGATTGAAAATTGAAAAATTGTTTCTTTCTAAACATGTCAATAAAAGACTGCTTAGAGATATTGTTATTTTATTATGATCATATTCCTAAGATACTGTTGACATGATAACATAATTGGGCATGTTGTAGAACTGTATGAAACTAGAATTAGTCCGTAGTGGATTCCTATATAGTGGAATATACATTATCGGATTAGTATAATTATTTTAAATTATATGTAATATATATATTTCGGGTCTTGGTTTTTTTTAATCGATTAATGAAGCAGAGCAATAAAATATTAAAAATGACAGAAGATAATGAATATTGAACGAATAACTAAAACCCTATAAAAATATTAGGTAACATTTATTATTCAAAGTACTCATTTTAATATTATTTCATTTTTTACTTTCACTTACCTATATGAGAAATATATATATAGGTAGTAAAGAAAATATGGTTAAAAGCTCAAAAACGAAAAGTCGTACGAAAATGAAATTGTATATTTAAGATTTGTATATGCCTGGGATGTTACTGCAACTTTTTCGTCAAAATCATCTAATCGGAAGTGACATTTTTTATAATCGATTTAACACATTTTTATGATTTTCTCGAAAACGCCTCTAAAGATTTTGATTGAATTCATTATATCAGTGTAAAATTAAGTAGTTTTTAATACAAAATAGGTCTTATTCTCATTATTGTAGCTTAAATGGCTAATTTTTAATATTACCTTCTCCTAAACTACCTTTAATTTTTTTATTTGAAACAATTGACCATTTCACATTAATCTCTAATATAAAAGGAGAAATAAGAGATCGGAATGAAGAATATTTGGAACCAAAGGAATATGAATGCGCCTGAGCTCTTCCGAAAGATTAGAACAGGGCTCCATACGCAACATCAGCTTAATACAATACTGCTCCGACTATATATAAATATATATATATACATATATACATACATATATATATATATATATATATATATATATATATATATATATATATATATATATATATATATATATATATATGCAGTTTTTATAAAACCGATCGTTGGTATTATTAAATATTTAATTGTATAGATTACAGCGATATAAATATTAAAATTTGTATCCATAGGAGTACTTTTGTTTACATACTTCAAAAAAAATACCCACAATGAAATATAAATAAATATAGCGTCTATAATGTTAACTTTCACTTCCCCGTTGTCGAAAAAAAACCCTCAAAAAACCTATTGCTGATAAGAGAGTGAAAGCTATTTCTGTTGGTAAGTGGAAGCTGTGTGCGCCTTAATCTATTTTTTAAATAGTTAATTAATTAATAATTGTATTAATTAATAATTGGAATTAATTTATAATTGTTTATTATTTCTGTTAGTTTATTTCGTTGTTATTTTTTATATTACTCTGAGGCTTCGAAGTCCGAAATATGTTAAAATTGGCTTCCTTGAACAAATAAAAAGATGGGACATGGTGTTTTTTAATCTCCGTGATACACATATATATTTATCTTTAGTATTATTATTTTCCCAGTTGTTATATTTAATTTATTTTTATTTATTGTATACACGGTGTGAATGAACACCTCTATAAATATTTTCTAATGTCCTTAGTTACAGAACGTAATACTATTCAATTAAGAAATGTGTGCAAGTGATAAAAAATAATTTTTATCTCTGTTATATTGAAAATGAAGCGGTTTACATTGGAGAAAACATTGCTTGGTTTGGTTCTTCCGAAAATTATATGGCTGACATGAAGGAATTGATTGGAGGGTGGTACGAAGAAATAAATGATTTTAAGCAAAACGGTTCTGGAGTTCAACACGTTACTCAGGTACATCAACAGTACTTGATAAAGTTAATTTATTTATTTTTTTACTTTAACTTATCTATGAAATACTTTGAATTTTATAGTATGTATAAAATACTATATATTACTATGGATTGTATAGTAAGGGTAAATATTGCGGAATAGTTACTGAATTACTAAAATACAGAGGTCAAGAACTTATTCAATTTCTCTAGCAACTCCTGCAAAAGATATTGGACACAAATATGGTTGCAAGATTGGGAATTCAGTAATATTGTCTCTATAAGTAAAAAAATGTAGCTCCACCGATTGTGAAGTTACCAGACAATAAGCTTACTGTCGGTGTCTTACAAACTATACGACTCAATTCTAGAAAGGAGTCTTCCCAGTCGAGAATCAAGTAGAAGAAGAACAAGCAGGATTTGTCCATCGAGGCAGGCTCAAGCATCACAGAGAAATTTTGGGACAGAGATTTGAACATGATGCATATGGCATTCTTGGATCTTCAAACAGTGTTCAACTCCGTGCCCAGAAAAGGGTTGCTTTGAAAGCAAAAAATGTTCTAGGAGATCTTGTCACAGCTATTAAATCGGTTTATCAGGAAGCGAAAGGAGTTGTGAGGATCAATGGAAAGGAGTCCAAGCCTTTTCCCATAAAAAGGAGACAACTACAGTTCCCTTTTATTCACCAAATTTATGGATGAAATTCATAAAATTTGTAAGCACCTTACTGCTTTGACTCTCATAGGGAGATGAAACATGAGGAATGTAATAGTTCAAAGCCTATTGCATGCCGAAAAATCAATTGATTTTTAAATAATCCTTGCTAACAAAAAATGTATACATTAAAGAGAAATAAAATTTGTATTAGTTACTATCGATTAATGGAATCTTATATTTTGGAAAAAAAATATTTCAATAAACAACCTGTTTAATTTTTTTGGTTTATTATTTTCAATAATGAAGCATTGTGATCAACCAGAAAATTCAGAAACATAACCCCCTCTCAAAATTTGAGGTTTCACGTTTCAAGACGCGTAGAATTCGAAAAACGAATAAAAATTTTTTTGTCCGTCCGCCGTCCACGCATTTTCTCCGAAACTACTGGACCGATTTTTTTCAAATTTTGATATCAAATCAGAGTTCACCCAAGGATGATACTCCTTCATTGACATTACTCTCCGCCTTTAACTTTCGGAATGGCGGCCGAAAAACCTGCGTTGCTATAGACTGTAGCTCCTAAACGAATGTACAGATTTTAATGAAACTTCGCTAAAATCATTTTCTCGACGCCCTTTAAATTTATCTATATAACATACTTCAACTTATAGAAGCTGTAAAAAAAGTTACGAGGGATGGTAAAATTAAATTCCGAATAACTCGAAAATTTTTTACTTTTTTGTTGATATTGTATATAGTTTTTTAAAAGTTTACGAAATTCCTAAAAAACATAAAAAGAATCGTTAAAATCGGACAATTAGGAGCAAAGATATGGTCTCCGGGTTTTTTTTTAGTTGTTCTACTCCAAATGTTATATCCTTGGTTTGGTTTTTAAATTTTAAATGTGTTACTGAACTAATGCTATTTTTTTTTTTAGCATATTACTAATGATTAAAGAAAAACAGTTTCGTCCAATAATTGGAATCACATTTGTTTTTTTTTTCTTTGTAACTGGGAAGGAAATGTTAATTTAGATGTATAATTGTTTGGAGATAATAAATCATTGTGAAATAATTTGCAGCGTTTTAATATTTGTAATTGAATTTTATAGATGATTTGGGCAGATACGAAATACATTGGCTGCGGAGTTATTTTTTATGACGATGGTAAAAATTCCAGAAAAAGGTATCAGACCTTGTTGGTGTGCAATTATCAACCAGTGTAAGATGAAAACTCCGAATTTCCTATTTTTGCTACATAAGATTACATTATGGTATTGTAACTCATAATTGAAAATCTATATTTTCTTTATTTGTAACTTTACACTTAGATAGTTTTTCTGAACCTGAAAATCTTTCATAATTTATCTCTATTCCTTTTAAGGTTTTATTCTTCCCTGATTCCGCGTTCTTCATCCTTTTCTGCTATTAATCCTTCTAAAGCCATCATATATCACTTATATACTATGTTAATATTTTTCTTGTTGTTTTTTATGTTGTTTTCATTGCCTTCATCATTCTCTCTGGTTTTGAATTTTTAGGAACCTTTTTACAAAAATTTAGGTTGGGTTTAGAGAGATGAGGGAGAATATTCAATATAGTATATCATATATAATTTTTATTGCTATCTTGATGAGTAGTTAGTTATTGTTAAATTTTGAGCTCCCTGTTATATATAACCCGGTCTACAATCTAATGACTACCTTTGATAAAAAGTTTTTGGATCGACCTTTGAGAAGATATGAAAAAGATTGAGTGATGATGCCTCTATTTACAGATGAATTAGAATCTTTTTTTTTTAAGATAAGATATGTATGCAGTTCTTCTTCGTCACAAAAGTGTTGTAATAATGTGTTGATGTGTTTTGCTGATAGTGGTGACATAAACGAACAGCTACCGTACAAGAAGTTTGATGATATAAGATGCAGCAGAGGAGTACAATCTGAGATATACACCAGCCTATGCGGTAAGTGTTGTCCCGTAAATGACACTTCGTTCTTTATAATAAATTTTAAAAAAAATCCTTAATTTGGGCTACTAAACATGGCATGTCTAATAAATTGCTACAAACAAATTAATAATATAATAATAATTATAGTTAATAATCTAATCTAAAATATATATAACAGAATAGAATATATATATATACAGGATGTCCCGTAAGTAGAGAGAAGTATTTAAAATATTGATAATAGACAACAAGATATACAAAAAAGTACATATAAACAATTGCCAATTTTCCATTAGAAAATTACAAAATTTAAGATTTGTGTTTTTTTAAGCGAGTCGCGTTTTTTGTTGAATAGGAAACGATAACTTAAAAAATATTTTATTTAAGTAACTAAACATTGCACCATATTAAACTAGACAAAATTTACTTTAAACGAAAGTAGAGTTTGATATTGTCAAAACTATTTAAAGAGGTATTTTAAGAGGATAAATACAGCGAAGTTCCGTTTAAAAAAAAAGTTATAAATCATTTGTGATTTTTTTTTATCACCCATCAACTGCACTACATTTATCCCACTTTTATAAAAACTTCCTCGTTTAATAAGCTTTAAGTCTATGTTAATTGAGGTTTATTAAGAAACATTTTGAGATTAACCTCAAGTTATGTAAAGAAATTATGTGTTTTCCTATCCAATCACCTAAAAATACCCGTGTGTTCAGCAAAAATGACTACAACTAACAGCTGAAAAAGTTTTTATTTCTTGTTTTCTCGTGATATGGGATGTATTGCAATAAACACGACTGCATAAAAACTCATTTCATTTATAAAATTAAAAATAATGAGTTTTCAAATATTTTTTATGGAAGATGGTTATTAAATGAGCCGTTTATTTTGAATGTGGCCTACCTCCATTTATCTTCGAATCGAGATATTTAAGGGTTTGCGTTTCAATGAATTTAAAAATATACGTATAGGATACTAATGAGTCATACTGCTTAAGTGTGTCTAAGGGTGTTAAATTTATGGTTCCTATTAAAATAGTAAAAGTTATTAAGTGAATAATGTGCGTTTTCTTATAAACAATGGAGTTAGGCCACTTTCAAAATTAACAACCAGGTTCATTATAAAATTTGAAGGTACCCAAGTCCATGCAACATAATTTAAGATGCTTCAAATTGAAAAACACAATACTCAATTTATGTTACATATCTTTAAAACACTTCGGAAACACAATTTATGCGATTCAAAACATGTTTTAATTACAGAACATACAAAATTACAAACAATTTACTATTCATCTACATTTTGCGTGTGTGAAAGGGATTTGAAGTAGTGATGATGTTCCGGTGGTATATATCGCAATAGGTCAATAATGTCCTTAAATTTTGTTGTTGTAATTTGTATGATATTTTTATAGAGTGGTGTCAATAAAATATTTTCGAATTTTATTGGTCAACCCCGACGTGGTAATAAGTTCAGGATTTTAAAATTTTCATTCTCATTCATTGTTGTCTTACAGAAAATTTTTCGTTTCAGAATTCTTTACCCTTTTAAAATGTGCGTCTTCTAATAATTTTATTGATACAAAATCTTTTAGTCTCATTTCATTTACAATAAAATTATTACATTTCCGACACTTTTTAATAATCTTGAGAAACGAACAGTAAATTATTCTATCTTAATGACATTTCTACCACACCAAAATCTCTATCATTTGGTAAAAACGAGTGTCCTGGTATTAAAAATTTGTGATCTATGATTTCCACATTATTTTCTGAACTTTGGACAATTTTTAACCACATTAAAGCTACTTTAGTGTTTCTATTTAGCCCGGTGCACATGTGACTGTAAGCTATAATATGTTTTTCACTTCTTAAATTTTTAACATGTTTTAAGATGCATGTAATAACTTCTTGGGCAATTCTGGATGCAATAGTTCCATCCCAAACGTACATGTAAACATTATCGCAGCTTTCTAACATTATCAATAGTAAATATCTTGATGTAAGTATAAAATAAATGGAGTTAGGCCACTTTCAAACTACACAATTCAGTTATTGAACTAATTCTGAAAACTTATGCGTCAAAAATTTATCGTATTTGCTCGGAATATAAGCAACCTGAAATGTTTTATTGATATATAGCGTGAAGTTGTACATGTAACCATGGTAACCGGCAAGAAATTGAAAAACGGAGTTAGGCCACTTTAAAAAAAAAAACGGCTCAGATTGTGTTTTTCTCCTAGATTTCTGTCATAGAAATTGATAAATATTTATTAGTGACAAAATTACTGTTTATAGCCGTAATGTTTACGTTTTCATGAAAATAATTTATGCAACCAGTTGGTTTCTTCATTATAAACGTAAATTATAATAAGAAACGTTAAGCTTGTCCCTGATGAATACATATAAATTCCTATGATTGATGATTGTTTTTCTTGCAGCCCACGACGAGAATCACGCCAATGGAACATATCGTCCCCGATGCAATAAGAACTTATTCCGTCACAACAAGAGCTTTAAGCTACGACCTACAGCAATATCATTACTTATTTTCTTGATATTATCCTTATAATTTTAGGATTTGTATAAATAAATCTGTAAACAAAATGAGAAATTTTTTGATCAAATTCCTATTTTTAAGATGGAAAGGAAATGTTTTCTTGGTAGTTTTATCGAAGCCTATTGAAGCGTCCCGTCAGGAAATATTATCATGATTCGTTAGCGTATATTTCATGGTAAAATTTAACCATGTTTTATAGAAAAAAATATAAAAAACTAACTCTTAAAGTATTATTGTTCGTATAATTATATTTCACAGGACTATTACTTAAAAACCATGTCATATAGTTGGTTTCTTTTTCGAATCAATTATTTAGAAAAACTAACTTTATTCTGGGACTAGGTCCCTTTAGAATAACAGTATTGTTTATGTAACTTAACCATAAATCTGGCCAAAAGACCTATTACAATGAATAATAACAAAATAATAGTAATAAATTAAGTATAATTTATTAATAAACAGGAAAACGACTGCCACCGAATTTATCTCGGCGAGGAGATGACCCCAACAAACAGGCACCTCTACTGGCTAGCCCGGCAGAAGAGAGCTGCCGGGAAGATAAGATACGTATGGTTCTCTGCCGGCATTGTGCGTTGCCGAAAAGAAGACGGCCATCAAGTAATCTTGATTAATCAGGCATCGGATCTAGAAGTTTTCGCCTGACTGCACAGGTTTCATCTCTTCTTCTCGTTCTTCAAAGTATTTTTTGTCTTCATTGGTGCCCAAATAACATTGAAGATTTTGGTTAAAATTTCTCACAGCTCCAGTTTACTAATTTGTTTATTTTCTTACTCTTATTTCTCACTTATTTTTTCATTATTCACTTTTATTTTGCTTATCAGTACTTTTCATAATTTTTTTTCAGAATATGATATATGTCTCATTTCCTCTATGCTAATTTCTGACTGTTTCCCATCAAATCCTCCCCATGTCTAGCATCCTAACCACCTGCCACGTTAACTCGCAATCCCTTCCCGCCCATTATGATGAATTCCTGCAGTACTTTTCTCAAAACTTTTTTCACATCATCGCAATCTCAGAAACCTGGCTCAAACCCTATATTCCGTCCTCATCTGTCTCCTTACCTAATTACACCCTCATCCGCCACGACCGGGTCAGCCGGACTGGTGGTGGAGTGGCCATATTTGTCCATGATAGCCTGAAGTCCCGAATCCTTGATTACTCCCCACCCTCCGAACATCCACAAGTGGAATACCTTCTAGTAGAAATTACCTGTAATAATTCACCTCTCCTTTACATAGTGATCTACCGTCCTCCCCTTGTTCCATTTGATCCGTCCTTAGAATCAACCTTACTCAACTTTGTTCCCCTCTATCCTAGAATAATCATCGCCGGTGACCTCAATACCAATTTCCTTTCTAATTCCAAAGACAAAACCTATCTAGAAAACCTATTTTTTTCCCTCCATCTCTTTATTGTTCCTTTTTATCCTACTCACCACACCCACAAGGCCGACACTTGGTTAGACTTCTTCATTATAGACTCCGAAATAAATCTCCTCTCCTCTTCTCAACTGCCAGTATCCTTCTTATCGTCTCACGACATGATCCAAATAACATATAATATCCAAACCCCTCTGATTCATCCGAGAACCTTCACTTTCCGTCAGATAGACACTCTCACCCGTGAAAAAATACTACCTGACCTTGAAACCTTAGACTTGAACGAAATATATTCCTGCTCCTCCATCGACTCCATGGTTGAAATCCTGACTTCCAATCTCCTCAATATCCTTAACACCCATGCTCCCATAAAAACCTCAACCTTTCGCCGTCGGCCTGCACCTTGGATGTGTCAAGAAATCAAGGATCTGCAGAAGAGGCGTGATGCTGCCCGCAGACGCTTTAGACGTACTAGGCTTACAGATGACTATCAAGCGTTTAGGGTGCTCCGCAATTTGACACAAACAAGAATTCGGCGAGCTAAAGCTTCCTACTTCCATGAAGCCCTGTCATCTGCCCCAGATCCCAAATCTAAATGGCTAATCCTTCGCAAACTTTCCCTCTGTGAACCTTCTAGATCCCCTTCCTCACTGTTCTTTTCCGTTTCACCTGACGATTTAAATTCACATTTTATTTCTGCCTCCTCTACCTCTTCTCTTCCCTCCTCTTCCAACTATGCTCCTGAGTCATCATTTAATGATGATGACTTTTATTTCTCCTACATTTCCCCGACTGACTTACTAACCGCAGTAATGAAATCCCACACCAATTCCATAGGACCAGATGGCATTCCTGTCAAATTGATAAAATTATGTCTCCCCGAAATCCTCCCAGTTCTCCTTTTCATTTACAATTTCTCCCTACAGAACTCAATATTCCCTTCCTCTTGGAAAAAAGCCATTGTACTCCCTTTAAATAAAAAGCCTAATCCATCCTCTCCCGAAGACTTTCGCCCAATCTCAATTCTTTCCAATCTCTCAAAACCCCTAGAAAGATTGGTACAATCCCAAGTTTCCAATTTCCTAGAAAAGTCTAACCAACTCGATCCTCTCCAATCTGGTTTCCGTCCCGGCTACTCCACACAATCCGCCTTAATCAAAATTACTAATGATGTTCAGACTGCAATAGATAATAAACAACTAACTGTCCTTATACTTCTTGACTTCTCTAAAGCCTTTGATTCCATTAACCATCCCATCCTTTTCAACAAACTAAAATCACTCTCCTTCTCCAATAGCTCCATCTCTTGGTTCCAATCTTTCCTATCACAACGCACCCAAGCAGTCTCCATTCCTAATCAACCACTATCTGCCTACCTGCCTTTATCCTCTGGAGTCGCCCAAGGATCTAGCATATCTCCTCTCCTTTTTAGTTCCTATATCAATGACCTCCATGACTCAATTCTCCATTGTTCCCACCACCTTTATGCAGACGATTCTCAAATATACCTATCCTTTTCTCCCCCTGAGCTATTGGTAGCATTTACTAAGATCCAAGCAGACCTAGATCGAATCTGTGCCTGGGCAAAATTAAACGGATTAAGGTTAAATGCTTCAAAAACTCAGGCCATTGTCATTGGTTCCAAGCCCCTCCTTAGATCCTATACGGACTTTCCCATACTAAACCTTGGTGACCAGCCAATCTCCTTCTACTCCTCTGTAAAAAATTTAGGACTATTTATTGATCAAACCCTCTCCTGGAGTCACCATATTTCTCACATCTCCCGACGGACAGTCTCTACCCTCAAACTATTCCATTGCTTCCGCCATCTCCTACCTCAACATACGCGCAGACTCCTCGTTTCCTCTCTCATCTTCCCCCACTTTGACTACTGCTGTGTGGTGTATGATGGACTCTCGGTGGAGCTCCGCGACAGACTGAAAAGAATAATGAACAGTTGCGTGAGATTTGTAATTGGTGCCCCGAGATACTACCATGTCTCTCACCATTACACTGAGTTAGAGTGGCTCTTCCCCTCCATTCGAAGACAATATTTCCTAGGTACATTCCTCTATCATATCATCAACAATCATCGTCCTTCCTACGCCTACAACCTTCTCCAATTCAAGTCCTCAGTCCACTCCCTCTCCACAAGATCTCGACCTTCCGACCTTTACATTCCTTCTCACAGATCTGCCTCGTTCCAAAACTCCTTTATTGCACGTTCTGTTAGTTTCTGGAATTCCCTTCCAATCAAAATTCGACATTCTTCATCCTTATCTACATTCAAAACCCTCCTATTCCAATTCCTGTCCCAAAAACAGTCAGGCACCAGCTAATCTTTTATGTAAAATTACACATTATATATAAGACCATATTCACATATAGCTCATGACCTGAATACTTATTATAGATTCGACTTTCTTTTTCTCTTTTTTTTTTTTTCTGTTTCAACAGAAACAGATTTTACTGTTAAGAAGAATATACATTTATTTTTTCTGTATTTTTTATTTTTTCTAAAAGGGTTTATTTATATTTTAACATCGTACATAGTTTTAAATATCTTAGTATGGTTTCAAGAGTTTTTTATATAGATTTTTATATTTTATTTTGTATATAGTATGTATAATCAATATTTTTTTTCTTTTCTTTTCTTTAATGACTTATCATTATCTTAATTTGTTATGTTTGTTTTTATCTGGCCAGATGTAAAATTTTAATTTCTGTACTTTTTTGTTATTCTGAAGGGACTTCGTCCCAGAATAAAATTATTTTTCTATTCTATTTCTATTCTATTCTATTCTATAATAGCTCTTAGAATAAATTAACGAGAACAGTTGGGTAACAGTGTTGGAATACTACAATATTGGAGCTAAAACAATAGCATAATGATCACTAAATGAAATTAGAAAGGAACACAAAATTAATTTTATAGGCAAAGCAATGTAGGGATGGAATATAAAAATTAAAAAATAAAAATAAAATAATAAATGATATACAAGATTAGGAGAAGAAAAAATAAATACAATAAAGTGTATGTATATATACACATAGCGAGGAGTGTGTCGAAGATAATTAGAAAATAAAATAAATTTCAAAGAAATACAATCTCTTGAATAGAAAAATTAGAAATTGAAAAAAACAAATTTTATCTACTCACAATGCTTTGTGAGTGGTGATGAAAATTCACAGAATAAAACAATAAAAAATAAGAGAAAAAAAATAATGTCTAAAGAAAATTAAAGCCTTATTACATAGTATGGATTTAGCCAGCGTCTGATTGGATTGTCAAGAGGAATTGGAATAAGAGGGTTTTAAAGGTGGATAAGGATAATGCATGGCGGATTTTTAATGGGATGGAATTCCAATTATGGAACTATCGTTTTATATATACATATATGTATGTATTTTATTTTCTAATTATCTTTAACACACTTCTCGCTATGTGTATATATATGTATACTTTATTTTATATTTTTTTTTCTCATCTCGCATAATCACTTAAATATCTTAGAGAACATATGTATATCATTTTTTTTGTATGTTTTGTTTTTGTTTTTGTTTTTACAATTACTTTCCTTACATATTAACAGTTATTATTTTTTAAATTTTTATATTCCACCACTACAATGCTTTGCCTATAAAAT